AACAATCCAACAGAAGGCTGGTGACATTTCCATTAGATATAGCTGTCTAAACCCATCAAAGCAGTTTTCCATGACCTAATTTTTCTGCAAAAGATATTCTAGCAGCACCAGCCCTTAGAAGCCAAGGTGCCCCGCTGCACGACAAATAGCTCTGTTCTTAACGTCTGCCAATGAACGACGATGGTAATCGATATTTTACTGAAGACAGTTGTCACCAAACTCACTCACTTCGATGGCAGGTAGACAACGCTACTTAAGGGATCTTACTAAACGCAAAGCTAGAATATTTTTTGCAAAACTTTAAACTTACCATATATATATATGTATTTATATATATACAGCAAACACTAAATATACGGGTACCTTAAGGGCCGATGATTAATTTATCTAATTCAATGTGTTTTTTTATTAACAGCAAACTACTCTGAATTTTTAACAAATTGTATGTCTTATTTATAGGAGTGGATACCAATGCTTCAGTGGTACAAGGTTATATAACGTTAAAATTATATGGTACAACATGAAATCAATACACAATTACTTTTGTGAAATAGTTTCAAAAATTAAACATTTTGAAGACAACTTAAATTCACACAGTGCTCAACAGTAAAATAATTGAAAAACTCGATTGTCAGTCGATAAAAACATTTTTTTGATTTCTGTTAAACGTTTTCCTTAGTAAGTTTACAAGATTTCTTATATCATGATTTCTTATTCATTTTCAATATACGAATGTTTTTTTTATTATCTTAAATTACGGCCCAAGTACTAAAGAATTTTCTAAAAAAAATTCTTTAACATCTAAGTCAATGAAAAAATCGCAACCTTTTGTCTGTGCCATCATTGTGCTAGACACTAACACTCTTCTCTATGCCGGCAACAACATCCCACATTGATTGATTTCATGATTCTCTACTGATTGTAGACATTTCTATTTTTAGTCTACCTTTTTTCAATGCCTATTATGCTATCATATCCTTATCATGAGACTAAAAACTGAACAAACCATAATTTTTCCGAAGATAGTTCTAAGACTGTAGATCTGATTAAAATTTTATTACATTAGAAATTTCCAATACGTACGTACTTTTCATAAGCTTCTGAGAAGGACGTATTCTGTAGCCTCTGTCAGGAGAAGCATAGGTTGAAATAAGTTAAAATATTATAGGTACCAACTTAAATTCCAGAACACTTCAAAGTTTGAAAGTTTACGTTAATAGTAAAAAGTTTTCTTTAAGTGCTTTTATTGATTTAACCATGGATAAATACAATTTCTTTTGTACGATTAAAAATTTTCTCAACTTTTTCGCAAAATTATTGAGGATGCTAAATTCATGAAATCTACAATTGAAAAATAGTTTGTATATTCCTTAACATCATTTATTCGTTTTTTGCAGAGTTTAAAAATTTTTTAATCTGGGACAGTATCTCTTAAGTATTCAGAATTATTTGAGATCAAAAACTTGTAAAATCAAGCATTGAAACTAACTTGATCATAAAGGGAAGAAAGTTTACTTATGTATATTTAATTTACAAAAAAATCAAGTCTTAAACGGCATACATTTCTAAATTGCCATGAAGTTTTATGTTTCTTGGAGTATTTCAATATAAAACAAAATTTGTTTGTACATTTAATTAAAAAATTCGTTACGCACCAACTATTTACTATGTAAAGTTTCATCAATTTCTGTATAAAAGCAATACCATTATCGAGACATTTTACTTATTCTATCTGTTAGTAGTGACAAGAAATTTTTTTACATGATTGATATTCAGGAATAATGTAACATACAGTGTTTACACATTTAATTAGTATTTTTTATTCATTACTTCTTTATTTAAAATGACAGAGACAAAACACAGAACAGGCGAAATAGATCACTTTCATTCATCTGCTGGCATTCATTCAATTTTTTGTCACTTATCTGTTTCTATTTGAATTTTAAGACAACATGCAGTTGACAAGTTAATTTTTATCTTAGAAACACTTTTAGTTTAGTCAAAAATATAGAAAATTCGAAATGTTTCATAGATCAAAAGCGAATAAGTAGAAAAAATGAACAGGATACCATCCTTGACGAACTGAGCAGTAGATCAGAATAATAACAAGTAATCAAGAGGAGCAGGTGTAGTCAAAATGTCAACATGCTTATAACAACATAAACTACTAACCAGGTCTGATTTCATCAACTATGTACATAATAAGATAATGTTTCACTTCAAAGTTAAGTATAAAATGCTTATGTTAATCTTTATTTCATTTATTTTTTTTAGAAAAAGAATCATGTGTGTGATTTCAATCTAAATTTAATTGTCAATTTTTCGTTTGACAGAATACTAAATTAAACTGTCTTTGATGGCTTTTAACAATACGAGTAATTAATCTTTTAAGTAACATCTGAAACACCAGTGTAGTTGCTATGCGATATACTTTGTGACTAATTGTCTTTTTTATTGGCTAATTAAAATTACTTTTCTAGCTGCACTATAACACTGTATTTTGATTTATAGCTGTAAGGTTTTCCTACTTGAGAATATTACAACAGTAAATATTTTACTCAAATTATTAAGCAGTCCTATGAAATCTTCGATGTTTGCTTTGTTCACTGATGTTGTCTCAAAAGACCTTCAGAGAGAAAGATGGGAGAAGAGAGATGGATTTTGCAAATACTTAATGTTCATTGTAATTGTACACAACGTATCTATGAATGCTAGTAGATAAATTAACTGTATGTACTACAAAAAAATTCGTTAAGAAAAATTTTTCTATTTAAAAAACAATTATTTTTAAATCCACAAAGTTGTATTTAGGGGACTTTTTATCACTAATTTTGTCCAACCACTTCTGTTTAGTATAGATAATCAAGAGTAAGAATAACATCATAAAATCAGAAATAGGTGGACTTTTTCATTCAACAGGTTCAGTTGTAATCCGTTAATTACAAAATAAAAATAAAATAGCTCATGAAAAAAGTCGTGCAAACATTACGTAACATTTTACTATGAAAAATTAAAGTTTAGTTAACTTAAAATATTTAAAACGCTATTTTTAATTACTAAACTGGTTTTGTTTATTTATTTTCTAAAATTTAAACTCCAAAGCATTTGCTGCAATTAATTTTATAAGAATAACGTATTTTTTCTATGGTAATTTTATAAAACATGATGTAAGGTTGATTAATTTTTGTATGACAACAAACGATTCTTGAACAACTAAAAATGTGACTTTTCGAATGATTTTTTTACAGAGTTAACTGTCATTGCTTACAAGCAAAAAAGCCCAATTTTTTAACATAAACAAAACAATTTCTTGCTATGTGTAGCCATTACTTGTAATTTCACTTAAGTAATTATTTTTTTCATTCATTAATTGTCATTAAATGATTTGGCACCAATTTTCTTAATATTTATTTTCATGCTCATATTTTTGACAATAATTTACAGTGATTTTATTGTTGGTTATATTTTTTCACATTATTACTTTTCTATCAATACTACTAGTAAGATTTACAACAAAATGAAAATTTTTTTGAAAGATCATTGCTATACGTAAAAAATCTATTCAGAGATACTGATTACTAGAATAGATCGACTTGAGAACTGAGTGTATACGTTAAATAGGTGTTTAGTGCGTTGAAAAAAATTTTAATTTACTTTTTTTTTTAAGAAATACTTTTAAGGTAGTAGATGGCTGAAAAAAATGAGCATGCTTATGTTTAATAGTCATATTAAAGAAAACTTTTTTAATCTTAACAAAAAAAAAAGAAAAAACTTGAGCTGAAAAAACTTTTCTCATCAGGATAACAAGCTAGTGAATAGTAACTATGCTAAAAAATATCTTTCAACTCTGTAGGCAAAAAAAATTAATTATTATAATCATCAGAAATAAGAATATTCTGAAGCATAAAAGATGATAAATACAATTAATAAATTTTATTGATATATAACTATCAAACATATGTTGGTATACCAGTTTTTTAATTAGACGTATGACAAGTATTCTCTCAAAAAAAAAGAAATAGTCCAAAACATTCTGTAACTTTCAGTTATTTACCTTCACTTACAAAAAAATGAGATTTTTCTTCTGAATATGCACGAAGTGTTAAAAATATTTGATATTTTTGATAAACGTCTAACACGTTGGTCAATCTTCACATGTAAGACAATTGCATACTTAGATATTTTGTAAGACTATAAATTTATGACTGAAGTACTTTAATTATGTTACGTGAGAAAACAATATTACTCTTAAAGTACTTCAGTTATGTTACGTGAGAAAACGATATTACTCTTAAAGATTTTATACGATTGTTAATTGTTTTAATTAGGTTTATCATTAACACTATATTGTGAAAGAGTTGTTAGAAAAAGTTTATGTTCTTTGCTTTTCCATGTGTAAACGTAAAGACGGGTACTATTTTTATGATTGTGATTATATTCCTACCAAAAAAAGGTAGGTTAGTTTTACCCTCTAGAAAATATAAAGCAAGATAATTTTTTGTAAACGCAGGGGTGACACAATTCTAAATTCCAGGTGATTACATATCTTGTTTGATTCATAGGAGTTTTGACAAAAATAGAATAAAATGTATAACCATAATTCTGACCATATCAACTGACAAATGCTATGTGATTTGTACATATGATACTAGAATAATTTTTTAGACTACGTATGCCCCAATGAAATAAATAATACTGCATAATATTTCATCTTAGATCAACACAAAATGTATCATTTACAAAAAAATCTTTCTTTTCTAAATTTTATGAATAAACTAAGATAAAAATGTTAGTCTTGTAACATCAAACTTCTTAAATCATAGTTTTTTTCATAATTTCAGATGCATATATTTTTGGTATTATTATATTTAATCTAAAACCACGACTATCAGTATCGCAATTACAATATACTTTATCCTTTCTTGTGCTATTTGGCAGTAAGTAATGAATAAAAGCAGATTTTCTTTGCTTAATATTTCATAAGCTTAAACTATTTGCTATTAAAAACTTTTCACATTTTTTAGTTTTTTACTTGTTCGGTTTCTCTTTCCTCTTAATGTAATAATCCAAGACAAATTTCACTTGCCAAATTCAATAGAATAAGTTTTTTTCACAAATATATGTATTGAAGTAAAAAGATAATTTGTGCTGTGTCAGTTGTTTTGTTTTACATCATCAGATTTTGCAGCAATAGAAATTATTATCTAATTCCAAATACGTAAAAATGAGTCCCAGGAACCAGTTGCTACTGCCATTCCATCTTCTGTTACACCTAGACAAGATACCCTATTGTCATGACCCGCAAGGATTCCTGAAAATCAAGATAAAATTTGTGAATAAAACATTAAGTATAAAGTTTTAATTATAAGTGTTAAATCATTCATATATATTTGTAGTAACGGTTTTATTAAGATTATAAAATTAATTAGTTTTGATAAATGGTATTGAATGTTGCTAGAGATACACAATTTTACACACGAAGTCTCATAATTATTTGTTACGAGTAAATATTCAAGCAAACAGGGGTCCAATGTGATTTAAAAAACTATCAACAAATGACACATAAAAACCGCTTCTAAGTAAAAACTTGTTTGTAACTCGGCCTAGTCCCAATTTCAAGAAATCTTAAATTTTAGGTAAATAGTCTTACAACATGAGTAAACAGGCAAGAAAAAAAATGTGTAAACAAAGGGCAAAATGTAATTAGAAAGTTATGAACAAATTCAAGAGCTGAAAGTTCGCTATTCCGTGATTAATTATTTTAAACTTGACTCAGCGTTATCCGAGGGATAAGAAACTTGATATACGTACTCTTACGTCAATTAAACATAAGTAGATATGTAACTAACAGCGGACATAATCATATAAAAAAGTAATAAATAAATTTAACAAGGAAAGAATTGCTTTTTTGTAAAAAACTGTTTATAATTTGGTGATACACACAAACATGATCTAGGGAATTCCAGAATTAGTATGAGTACTCTTGCAACACATAAACACAAGTCAATATTCAAGGAAAAAAAGGTTCATATCAGTGAAAAATTATGAAAAGGTTAAGCAGAAAAAGTTGCTTTTCTGTTAAAAATTGTTTATTACTGAGTCCAGAATTCCTCATAAAATCCTACAATCATCATAAGTACACTTATAATAAATTAACTCAAGAAAATATTCATTTGTCAATATCCAATACGTCATAAGAATGGTTAATTATATTTATAGTGTCTATTAATTTGAACTGCTGTTATCTGTCATCTAAGCAAATAACATGTTTCATATATCTTAATTTGATCTTTCAAATGATCCTTGTGACTAAACGTAACAAAGTATTCCAGGAACTAACTACTTGATGTTTTATTGAAGTAAAGATTCTTCAAAGAAAAAAATATATGTAAAAAACATAATTTTTGTTCACAGCCTAGTTGTTCCTATTCACAGTCTTTGACTGTTTCTTTTAGATCAACAGTTAGATCAACAATAAAGTAATAAAAATCTTTAATCATTCTTTAACAATTTAAAAATTTGTAACAAAAAGAGGGATAAGAACATTATTGAGATATTGTTTATAATAACAAGAATATGCAAAAATAAATAGTGTTGTTATGAGAAAAATAAATTTTTTTCCGTAATTTTCTAGAGAAGAATGGACAATAACAAAAATTACACTCCTTGGTGTAGCAGTTTCATTTCAAGTATATCTAGATATGGGCCTCACTTATTCCCACCAAAGTATGCTCCCAATATCTTTTTAATTGGATTTCACGTATACTCATTGTTAGATTTTTACGTATCCTATGCCCCTAATCCCTACCAACCTTGTTTCCTTCGGCAATCACCCTTTTTTCCGTAATCACCTTCCTTTTTCCAAAGTTTAGAGAATTGCCCTTCTTTCACCGGAGTTTTCGCACAGACCCCTTGAAAAGTTTCCCTCAAACGACTCGGTCATTCATCGAACTAGGTACTACAAACAGGGCATAATCTGACTCCCGCAACTCGTGAGTACCTTCTACATGTAAGGCATAACGTGTTGGCTGAGGTAACTCGGGTGCATTTCGAGAACATTAATAGTATTAAACTAAGCTAAGGAGCAATGTACAACGAAGGAGGCCCACCGAAAGTGGTTTTAGCGATAGCACAGAAAGCAGAAACTGCAACATCTTTCCAGCCACGAACTCATTCGTGTAGTTTAAGAGACCACTGAAAATTACTGCTCAAAGCATTAGGGAACTCCGAAGCAGCCGTAACAACAATCAGTGAAAGATGTAAGTTATTTATCAGTAGGGTAATTAATACCAAATCTTGTTAAAATAACCCAAGTAAATTGTATATAAAAGAATAATTATTTTGAATTATTTTAATGAAAGAATACATTAGTTTAAATTATCCATATCATTCTAATGCAAGATTTTTACCCAACTAAAAAAAAACAACTAAAGCTAATGAACTAAGCTTTAAGGAACCCATAAATGACAATATAATAAAACGGTTAAGACCATACTTTTAACAAGTCCAATCATAACAATTTTAAATGTTATCATACTTAAACTAAGTATCCCCCTTCCCTAGTATCCATGGGATCCCATCAGTTTTCCCTCAGCTTCACCCAATCTATCTCATTATCTTAATTTTTATTGAATCACGCAATAATTCATTTATTCTTTTTATAATCTACTTTAATTATACTTAGAAAATGTTTTTTTATTTATTTTTACATCCTTTAAAATTTATTTATTATCAAACGAATGACAGTTTCTTTACCTCTTGTAATCTTTTCTGGCCTAACTCTACTTGTTTGTCTTTTATCTTTTGAAAAAAAATTTTTAGTTTTGAAAAAACTTTACATATAATATAAAGTTTTGTACTAAAAAAATCACATTCTTATAATAACTGATTTTTTCCGAAGTTTTGTGTGACATTATAAGTCGTATAGCAAGTAATATTTGCGATGACATATGCATCATAAAATTTAAAGGTACATATAGATGAAAGTACTCACAGCACTCCTAGTATATCAATGTCCTACTATGATAGCAATAGATTTTCGATCAAATAAACTGCGTTAATAATTTTTAAGCCGTACTAAAGGAGAAAAAAAACAAATTTGCTTTTATTACGTGGAGGTGAAATGGAAGAAGTGGGGGTATGCAGGGGGCATAGAGAGGCTGTGGGGGTTAAGAGTAAAATGCTCTAACACCTACACAATGGAGGTAATATAGGTAGATGTATTTTTTCCCTTATTCCGGCTGATCTTACATTTCCTCCAGACCCTCACCCCCCCCCCCCCAACTTAAGCCACCCAGTAACTCACCTACATATCCTAGCAGAATTTTTCTTGACCCCCAGTGTAATTACACTATCCCCTACAGCCTGTACACAATTTTTGTGGAACCTTTATTTTACCGTACTAAGTATTACGGACTCCAATACCAATCCATTCATGTATGTGTCAACATATTGTTTTATTATATAGGTTATTTTATTGGCAAACTGCGATGAGTCATAAACTTTAGAAATAATCTAACACAAAGTTTATATGTTAGTGGGCATGACTTGCTGGTAACATAAATATTAATATCATAATAAACGTATGTGAACATCGTGTACGTTATTGTAACTTGCATTATTATTTATCTAAACACTTCATTATTCTCCACGAACCTCATACAACCTTGAATATTTACTTTTAAATACATATTTCCATTTGGTTTTCTATACCACCCAGGATGCAAATAAATGGACTTGAAAGATACAAGTAATTAATAACTCATTATTTTATATCACTAAAGTAAGATTATAAATAAATTAATATCAATAATACTTTAGTTTATATGTGTGTATAAGGTTCATTATGCGCTAAGCTTTTTTTGGGTAATGTTGGTAACAAACTATGTATAAAAATTTAATATCTTACTTAGCTTTGAATTACGTAAGACCGATACATACAAAAATCTAAATAACAGTTATATGTAAGTAAGCGCGGTGGCTCAGTCAGCTCGGTCGTGGGTCAGCACGCGAGAGACGGCAGTTCGATTTCAGGCCAGTGCGACTAATGGAAGGCCACCCATCCCTTTTCCCTTCTTTCTTTCAAGTGCTAAGTGCCCTGAGTAGTGCTCTTTATAGGAGCCGAACGTAAAGCACTGTAATATAAAAAAAAAAGTTACATACAAATACAACCATACATACCGCGAAAGTATTGCTCTATTATAGAGGTTTATTGTTATGAGTCAACTGACAGAGGGAGTCAAGAAATTTGATAAATATTCATTAAACTGTTAGATGTAAACGTTTTTTAGAGAAGTTTTGTAATTATTTGTATTTTAACTAAAATTTAGTAAAATAAAAATTTTCTTTTCTTTCGAAGGTTAAAAAATAAAAAGAAGCATGTACTTAAAGCCTGAAGCAGGGCCCCACTTATTCGCTCTGTGCAGCCATCTGAAACAGCGCCTGCATGGGTAAAAACGGCGGTACTTATTCATAAGAATAACGTGGCCTCTTATGGGCCATGGAACCTAATACATTTTTTTGAGGCACTAACGGATCTTTTATTACTAAGTTGAGCTTTTTTAGTAATGTTAACAAGTTTTGAGCCAACAGTAAGTTTTTCACTGCTTCATGCTAAAAAAAATTTTTTCCATAGGAAACACATATGCTTTAATAAGTAAGTATAAATAATTTTTCCTATTGGTAGTACTGTTTCAAAGTGTTGCACGAAGAAAATACGTATACAAACACACATGTTCATATTAAAATACATCATGTATTTTTCTTTGAGTATTGTTTTATTCTTATAGATTATAATGTATGTGTTGTACAAGCTAGGTTAAAGTGGGGCAAAGTTCGTCTTACAAAATTGAATTTAAATCATGTGATTAAATTGACCCACATCTATATATATACTCCATAATAAGTGTCAATTTTTTCTTTAATTAAATTTAAAACTTTGTTCTTTAGAGAATATATAATTCAATCATTTTCTTTTAAATTTTACTTTTTGAATTTTAATATCAATTTTTCTTTCTTCAAAACATTCTATATTTGTTTACCATTTTATGTAGACAGCAAATTTAACGTTTCTACTTGTGACTAAACGTAACAAAGTATTCCAGGAACTAACTACTTGATGTTTTATTGAAGTAAAGATTCTTCAAAGAAAAAAATATATGTAAAAAACATAATTTTTGTTCACAGCCTAGTTGTTCCTATTCACAGTCTTTNTGTTATAATTATATGTTGTATTTTTCTTGATCTTTTGGGGCAAATAACAAAACTCTTGGTTTTTCTTTTAGCGACATATCGTTGACTAAAGTGTCGACC